GCTTCTAGGGAGAGTTCAGGCTTGATTGGATCTAGAACTCACTTATTTGCAGGGGTCATTCCATAGAAAAAGAGCTAGGGGAACTCATTAGCATGACTCATTAGCATATGTCACACCCCCTGACATCAGGGGCCCGGCGGTGGACCTGCAAGGCCGGCGGGAGTGCGAGTTCTTCCGTGCCCCCCCCCCCCCCCCCCCCCCCCGGGGGAACGGGTTTCCCCTTGGTTTCCCCCCCCCCCCGAAATGACCTCTGCTTATTTGTCTTTTTGGAGGTCCATGGTATCCGTAAAACTCTCCCCCAATACTGCATTTCAAAGGAATCAACTTTCTTCCTGCCAGCTTAACTTAATGCCTGTGAGGCAATGGGAAACCATAGTCTTCACTGAGGCTTAGTGAAATAGCGTCAAGCTTTCTGGAGCACTTCCCGAATTGGCTACCTTGCCTGTCTCTCTGGAACAGTGAACTCCAGCCATGAGGGTGTTGAACACGTGGTTCAAAATGTTCCTTCAGCACCCCTTTCTCCCTGTCTGTAGAGGAGAACGAATTCATTCTCTATGCCACACGGTATTCCATCCACCGGTATGACCTTTCTTCCGGGATCAGCGAGAAGCTGCCTCTGAACGGATTGCGAGGGGCGGTGGCCCTGGATTTTGATTACGACCAGAACTGTCTGTATTGGGCAGACGTCACGCTTGACATCATCCAGGTGAGGTGTTCTTCAGGGCTCCCAAAGTGCATTGTAACACTTACATACCTGAAGGAAGTACTGTGTAGGTGTTTGGGGCAGGTGGGGGTGTTGTCAGACATATGGGGCAACAAAAGGGAAATCTGTGGGGCTTTTTTGAGAGTACAGACAGCTCTGTTGATTGAAGAAATTCCGGGCCTTTCTGAAAAAGCTAGACTCGAGTTTCTTCTATATGGGGCAACAAAAGGGAAATGTGTGGGGCTTTTTTTGAGAGTACAGACAGCTCTGTTGATTGAAGAATTTCCGGGCCTTTCTGAAAAAGCTAGACTCGAGTTTCTTCTATCTGATAGAAATCCCAAGATTACCCACCAAGTAGCCAGTTTCTGTGTGGCAATACTAAGATTACGGAAATTCTATGGTAGTTAGGTAGTTATGGCAGTTAGATATCAGATTAAATTTTAATCTGTTTTTAATGTTCTACTGATGTATTTTAAAATCTTAGAATATTGTAAAGGTGTACTTCTTCTTGTATGACCGGTCTAAGGACTGTAGAAATAAACTGAACTGAACTGCTGGGGGTGATCAGCCTTAGAAGATTAACAGTCGTGTGGGAAACGAAAGGCAGAAAAATATGAATTTGACTTTTGAAGTGTGGCCCACTTGAATTGGCCTCTTGTCTGCAAAACTCATTGCCAGCTAAAGTTTCCTGTGCTTGATCCAGGTGTGAAAGCTACCCAGCAGCCGCTATCACTACGGCGACCCACTTTTAATGACTATCTCCATAGTAGATCCTTCAGTTTACTTCCCGCGTATAAGAACTGTGTTCACCAAAGTTTTCTCATGGCTGGCTGCTGCGTCTTTTTTTTTTAGCGCCTGTGTCTCAATGGGAGTTCTGGACAGGAAATTATAATCAGCACGGGTCTGGAAACCGTCGAAGCCTTGTCCTTCGAGCCCATCAGTCAGCTGCTGTACTGGGTGAATGCTGGTATCCCAAAGATCGAGGTATGCCTTTGCACGGCCAGGGTGCCCCACTGCTGAGAAGCAATTCCATCGAATTCGCTGCCAGAGGATGTAGTGATGGCCACAAGAATAAAAGGCTTGAAAAGGGGATTAGATAGATTCATGGAGAGTAAGTCTATCAGTGGCTACGAGCCATGGTGACTGAGGGGAATCTCCACATTCAGAGGCACTAAGCCTCTGAATCCCAGAGCCAGGAGACAACATCAGGGGAAGGCCTCAGCCTCTCTGCCCTGTTGTTGGCCCTCCAGAGGAACTGGCTGGCTACTGTGTGAGACAGGATGCTGGACTAGATGGACCACTGGTCTGATCCAGCAGGGCACTTCTGATGTTCTTATCAGGGGAAGGCCTCAGCCTCTATGCCCTGTTGTTGGCCCTCCAGAGGAACTGGCTGGCCACTGAGTGAGACAAAATGCTGGGCTAGATGGACCACTGCTCTGATCCAGCAGGGCTCTTCTGATGTTCTTATCAGGGGAAGGCCTCAGCCTCTATGCCGTGTTGTTGGCCCTCCAGAGGAACTGGCTGGCCACTGTGTGAGACAGGATGCTGGGCTAGATGGACCCCTGGTCATCCAGCAGGGCTCTTCTGATGTTCTAATGAGGACCTCGGCCTCTATGCCCTGTTGTTGGCCCTCCAGAGGAACTTGTTGACCACTGTGTGAGACAGGATGCTGGACTAGATGGACCACTGGGGCTGATCCAACAGGGCTCTTCTTATGTTCTTATGACCTGTCTCCTGTGCCATTAGAGGTATGGGGCAAGGCAAAGAGGGTTTTGAAGCAAATACAGTTATCAGAAGCCGTTTGTTGCGTAGATCAGCAAGCGAGCTGACTTGGAAATGTTTATAGGGGTCAGGGTGTATTACTTGAACCATTTTTGGTCTGTTGGTTTAAGAAGGCTGGCTTGGCTGGTACAGCTGATTTCCCTGCAGTTCCCTCCTTTGACCAGAGTTGGGTGTGAATCTCCACAAGACGTTCTTCAGGTCTGTACACAAGAACATAAGAGAACATAAGAGAAGCCAGTGTTGGATCAGGCCAATGGCCCATCCAGTCCAACACTGTCACACAGTGGCCAAGAATACCAGGTGCCATCAGGAGGTCCACCAGTGGGGCCAGGACATTAGAAGCCCTCCCACTGTTCCCCTCCCCCCACAAGCACCAAGAATACAGAGTGTCACTTTTCCCAGACCGAGAGTTCCTATCTATACCTTGTGGCTAATAGCCACTGATGGACGTCTGCTCCATATGCTCATCGAATTCCCTCTTGAAACCCTCCATGCTTGTAGCCGCCGCCACCTCCTGTGGTGGTGAATTCCATGTGTTAATCACTCTTTGGGTGAATCCAGCAAATGCCTTTCTGTACTCCGTAGTCATGATAAGTTTGAAAATTCCACACCATTTTAGTCTGAGCGCAAGGATTATGGGGCTTTCAGCTCCTGCTAGCAAATAGCTAAATGAAGTTTCCTGGCATAGATGCAGCCTCTCTCTGAATACCAAAGGGCAGGGATAAACCTACAGGGCAAAGCTCTTTCTACCAGATTCTGGTTTGAGAGCTGCCAGAAGCCAGATAGCCAGACAAGGTAGACCGTGGACTGATTCAGCAGGGAAATTAAGTCCTCTCTCCTATAAATCTGCTTGTTTGCGTGAATGGATTTTGTTACTCCACCGTGTTCCTGCAAGAAAAGCTTCATTTGTCTTCCCGCAGAACGGAAACAGTGCCTTGCATTGTACAGCAGCAGGCAAATTATACCTCGTACGCAGTCGTCCCCAGCGCACTTATGAACTTGCTCTGTGGGTGGATGTCGGTTTGCATACAACCACCCGGCTACTTCCTGGTAACAAAAGCCATTTGCTCTAATAAGGTTTGGTTTGCGAGCAACTGGCAAGCTGAATAAGTGAATGGATTCATCAAAGTTACGTGCGGGAAGCAATTTTCGGAGCTTTTAGAGAGCTCATTTGTTTGTTTTTTGTTGGGCGGTAGAGCTGGTGGCATATCGCGCCGTGTCATCGTCCTAGGCCTATAGTAGTGCGGCCTGCAGGCCCTAGGAAGGCCTATATTAAAGTAGGTACCAGGCCTACATTTCCCAGACACCCCCTGAGCTGTGTGATTGGTAAAAGGGGATTTGGAGGGGACACTATGTCAAATTGGGGGTGAGGGGGTGGTGCTTGGGAAGAAGGAATAAAAGGCCTTCCCCAGAAAGGGAAGGTGGTTAACTCGTAGGGAGCAGGGCTGGGGAGAGGCTGCTGCAGACGGAGGGATCCCTCATCCAGGAAGGGGTCAGCTAGCCTGAGGCCTAAGACCAGGAGGCAGCCAGGGACAGTGCAGATAGACGCACTAGAATTTCTTTTTAGTTTGCCTACCTGCCTTTACTGACATCATTATCCCATATGTGGCTTGAATTATTGTTGTCCTTAGAGCTCTTTAATAAACTGTTTGCTACTCTGCCTGGGTCCTCACCCCTCATTCAGTCACCTAGAAGGTATAACCTGTTTGGAGAAGAAGCGGTTAGGGGCAGGGAGGATGCTCTGGGCCCTCCCGAGTTAGACCCACGCAGGAGTGGTGTGAGCCGATAGAGATTCCCTATTCGCCCACCTAAGGGCTGCGGTGACTCAGAGGTTGAGACGCCAAGCTGCAGACCGGAAGGTCTGTAGTTTGGCAGTTTGAGACCCGAGTGCCATGTGACAGAGTGAGCTCCCGTCTCCGGCCCCAGCTCCTGCCAACCTAGCAGTTCAAAAGCAAGAAATTGCAAGCAGATAAATAGGTACCGCTTCGGTGGGAAGGTAACTGCGTTCCATGCATCTAGTCATGCCGGCCACAGGACCACGGAAACGTCTTCGGACAGCGCTGGCTCTTCGGCTTGGAAACGGAGATGAGCACTGCCCCTTAGAGTTGGATTCGAGTGTCTTTCAAGCAAGGGAAACCTTTACCTTTACTATTCCCCCACCTGTGACACGGCGGTTCAAGGAGTTTTGCCCAGCAAGTGGGTACTTGCCTGCTTCACAGTTCTGATTCTGCTCCACCCCCGTGTCAGGTTGGAACTGCAGGGGAGCCGCTTCTTACCTGGAGGTCGGCCCTCTTATTGGGACTGTGCCCTTCTCCCAGGGCAGGATGGAGACCCGAGCAGCGCAGTTTTTGTTGCCTGTTGCTCTTAGAAGCCGTCCACTCATCTTTCCCCCACGTTTTGGTGCTTGTGTTAGGTTGCCAACCCCGACGGAGACTTAAGACTGACAATTTTGAATTCCTCTGTCCTTGAGCGGCCCCGAGCCTTGACTCTGCTACCTAAAGAAGGGTAAGTGGGGTGCTAAATGTACTACCGATGTTGTCAGTAAGCCTCATACCTGGGAAGTCAGGTGTAATACACGCATTAAAAACATAAAAACGCAAATCACATAGCAGAAGAACTCCCAACAGCAGTTAATGGGGGGACGGACACAAAAAGTAATGCGCTTCTTGAAAAGAAGAGAAGAAGAAGAGATTGGAGCCAACCCCGACGGAGACTTAAGACTGACAATTTTGAATTCCTCTGTCCTTGAGCGGCCCCGAGCCTTGACTCTGCTACCTAAAGAAGGGTAAGTGGGGTGCTAAATGTACTACCGATGTTGTCAGTAAGCCTCATACCTGGGAAGTCAGGTGTAATACACGCATTAAAAACATAAAAACGCAAATCACATAGCAGAAGAACTCCCAACAGTAGTTAATGGGGGGACGGACACAAAAAGGAATGCCCTTCTTGAAAACAAGTGTTCACTTTCTGTAAGAGGTAGTGGTGGAGTTTTAAGGCTCCCAAATAGTATTTTATTTTATTTTAAGACATTTACCCTACCTTCCTACTGGAATAGCAGGGCAAAAGTTTTAAAAAACCCAAATAGGATACTAGCAAGCATTAAAAACATAAAAAACAGCATATCAGCTAGCAGAAAAACTCCAAACAGCAATAAAACAACAAGCAGCAGCAACAGAAATGGGCAGTGAGCACAGACAATCACAAAGACAGACAGACACACCAATGTAATACATCCTCACAATCCTGCTGTTTATCAGATTTGGTCTGAGTAGGGATGCCGATCCTGAATGACATCTAACCTAGCAGAGTGAGGACAACTCGCCAGCCATATTTCGTGGCCCACTGCGGGGGGGTGTGTGTGATTTTCAACCTGGCTTGTTTTCTTCGTCCTTCTGAGTGACATGATTTTCTGCTTTGTATTCACAGGTTGATGTTTTGGACCGACTGGGGGGATTCCAGGCCCGGTATTTATCGAAGCGAGATGGACGGCTCCTCAGCCACCTGCATTGTTTCCGAGGGGGTGAGGTGGCCTAACGGCATCTCTGTGGACGACCGCTGGATCTACTGGACCGAGGCTTACATGGACCGGATTGAGCGAATCGATTTCAACGGCATGCAGAGATCGGTGATCTTGGATAGCCTCCCTCATCCGTACGCCATTGCTGTTTTCAAGGTACCGAGAGGGATATCTGGACTCTCGTGAGTCTTTACATCCACCTATGGCAGGGGTCTCCAGTGTGGTGCCCGTGGGTACCATGGCGCCGGACCTGTAGCCAGAATTTTGTGGCTTGTGGGGCAAGAAAAGCCATTGAGCCAATAGAAAGTTGTTACCAGGATAGATCTCTAAATTGCAAGCGGTCAACCACTTTAGATGATGATGATGATGATGATGATGATGATGATGATGATGATGATAATAATAATCTTTCGATTTATTGATCGCTCAATCCTTGCAGAGCTGCCGTCTCTGAGCGATTTACAGTTACTCATGTGTTGACACGGGACTAACGATGGGGGTAAGGGAGGACAACATATATCATTTTTAATCACACATACTTCGCAGTCGACAGGGAGTTTGGTCAGCTGTAAGCATCAGACATGTTCCGGCAGCATTCTTTAGTCGGCGTCGCTTGATGTTGTCAGCATTTTTCTCAGTCGCAGCGCACCACGCGCGGCCCTGTCTTTTGTCTGCTAACCATGCGCCCCCGGGGGGGGGGGGGTTAAGTGTGCCCACCCTCTCTAAGGAGTGGTACCCATTTTATCTACTCGCCGAAGCTTTCGAACCGCTGGGTGAACGGCGAGCTGGGGACACGGCTGGTAGCTCACACCAGTGTGGGGCTCGAACTGACAGCAGTCCTGTTCAGCTCAGATGTTTAACCAGAGATGACAGTTCTCAGCTGCTGCAAATTAATCACTTCTGCCAGCCGAAGCACCAATTCTGATAACAAGCCGGCAGGTGGGGGTGATGACTTCTATACGCTTAGGCAGAAAAACTCTCTTCAAGGAGCCCAGTTTCTTGACACAGAGTTAGAAGGGATCCTAGAGGTCACCTACTCCAACTCCTTTGCTCAGTGCAGGAATTAGTCAACTACAGCACCCCACTCTGCTTCAAGGAGAGCACATCTTTTAACAATGTTTTAAAAAATGACTGAAAAAAGAAGTAACTGCAGATCTTCCAGAGGTAGCTGCAGCCTTGCTTTGGGGAGGGGCAAATGTTAACTGCACAGTTCACCAAGCCTTTCCTTTAAGAACTCTCATCATTCTGAGCACGGCAACTAACTGACGATTTTAAAAGCTGCTGCTGAAGTCGGAGCAAACTGATCTTCCCCGAGGCAATCGCAGAAGGACTTTAATATGTGCATGAGCCACAAAGCTTATCTAGTTTGCAGTTCCCCTCGGGCTGCTAACATTCAAATCCAGGTTGAGGGGTTGCCCCTAGCAACTGATAAGGAAAAGATGTCCTTCTGTACGGGATGTGATGTCCTTGCGTGCAAAATCAGAACTTCATCAGGAACAGAAGTTTTTAATGGCTAGTTTTCTGCTCTGGGGATTTCAAAGGGCAATCTTTAAGTGGAACTTCTTGTTGCTGCTTGGGGTTTTTTGGTCATATCCTCACCCCCTTGGTTTCTAAATCCGATTCTAAATTGAGAGATGGGGCAGCCTAAGTTTGAGCTGGGTAAGTCCCGGGTTCAAATCTCACTTCTGCCACTGATTCGCTTGGTGGCCTCAAGCAGACCACGGCTCTCACCCTCCATGCCGTGTCTGCAAAATGGGGAAAATAACAGTGACCTGCTGTCAGACTCCCAGTCAAGTTACTCTCAACAGCTCTCTCTTTGGCAGTGATAAGTTTATTGAGGAGTATGATCCGGAGCTGCGGTGGCTCAAGTGGTTAAGACGCTGAACTGCAGGCTGTGGAAGGTCGGTAGTTCAGCAGTTCGAGACCCAGGTGTGCCGCATTACGGAGTGAGCTCCCGTCTCTGGTTCCAGCTCCTGCCAACCTAGCAGTTCGAAAGCAAGAAATTGCAAGCAGATAAATAGGTACCACTTCAGTGGGAAGGTAACAGCGTTCCGTGCGCCTTGGTGTTTAGTCATGCCGGCCACATGACCACGGAAACGTCTTCGGACAGCGCTGGCTCTTTGGCTTGGAAACAGAGATGAGCATCGCAACCCTAGAGTCGGATTCGACTGGCTTTCGAGCAAGGGAACCTTTACCTATACATGATCCAGAATATCACTTGTGTTAGAACTAAAGATTTTGGCAGGCACCTGCTTAATATAGGTAATTCAAACAAAAGCCCCTTCCATCCCCCAGGCACATGTCACACATGCACACCACGCCTAACGTTGCTATCGCAACCAAGTAAGATAACATATGTCTTGGTTATCTACAGCTCAGGCTGGTACAAAGAAGCTTTCAAGGACATCTTTCCTGGGAACAGGAAAGGAGGCCCGACTTGCAAGGAAAGTTATGGCTTCTAGAAGCGAAAGGCCCCAGTCTCACACTCATTCACTCACCCCCTCCCTGCAGGAATTCCCACCCCCCAATAGTCATGGCAACCAAAGCGAACAAAGTAAGCGAGGTTTGACACCTACCTTGCAGAGTTGTAAGATTTTCAACAGGATAAAGTATGTAAGGTTCTCTGAATATTTGATATGGGTGAAATAAATGCCCTGACCTGGAAGCCCAAGCTAGCCTGATCTCACCAGATCTCAGAAGCTAAGCCAGGTCAGCCCTGGTCAGTATTTTAATGGGGGACCATCAAGGAAGTCCAGGGTTGCTACACAGAGGCGGGCAATGGCAACCCTCCTCTGAACATCTCTTGCCTTGAAAACCCTATGGAGTTGTCGTAAGTTGGCCGCAACTTGATGGGGGGAAGAAAAGCAAAAAGGAGAAGGAAGACATCATCCAGCATACCCCCCCCAACCCCCCCCGATTCTGTTTGGGGTTGGGGCCAGCCCCTGAACCAAGCCAGGAGCCCCTCCCCAGCTGGTCTGGCGAGTTCAGTTCCCCCATTTCTCCCGGCTGTAGCTCACTGCGGCCGGGAGAAATGGGGGGAATCACCGGGGAAGGGTTAAATGGCTGGCAGCCAGTCCGTTTCGCTTCCTTCTGCTTCGAAGGCAGTGAAAGGAATCACAGCCATTTCAGCCTAGCAGCCATTTGGACCTATCAGCTCAGCAGCAGCCCCTGCAGCATTAAGGTGTCAGGTTTAAATAGACCCAAACAGCCAAACTGGAAAAACGTCCGATAAATGTTCAAGGAAGGTGCCTTTCCCGAACATCGGTCCGGGGGATCCGAACCGGCCAAAGTTTGTGTTGAATTTTGGCTCATGAGCCGGTTCGTGCCCATCTCGAATAATAACATTAACTTTAATAAAGTTAATCAACATATTCAGAGCATATGCTTAAAAGATCTTTGTTTTGCTTTCCTTCCCAAGCTTATCTATACTTGCGGTACTTCACCAAATATCACTGCTAAAAGAGAAGAGGTCTGTTTTTCAGAATGAAATCTACTGGAACGATTGGTCTCAGCTGAGCATATTCAGAGCCTCCAAATACAGCGGATCCCGAATGGAGATTTTGGTTGGCCACCTCACCGGTGTGATGGATATGAAAATCTTCTACCGAGGAAAGACGGCAGGTATTCCCGGGACCGTATTCAACGTTTTCTGATTTGTTCCGTTTGTTTGTATTGTGATAACTCCTTGGAACATTAAGAAAGAGCACAGAAACGGATTATGGTGCATTCTCGGAGCCAAATCTCTACCAACCTGATCCGCACATCTGGGTTGGGGGTGGGGAGACAAGAGATAAAACCCATTCATTGTGTCCAGTGTAGAGTCACCAGCTCTGGGTTGAGAAATTCCTGGAGATTTGGGGGTGGAGCCTGGGGAGGGGAGGGTATGATGCCGTAGAGTCCCCCCTCCAAAGCCATCATTTTCTCCAGGGGAACTGATCTCTGTAGACCGGAGATCAGTTGTAATTCTGGGAGATTTCGCGGACCCGCCTGGAAGCTGGCAACCTTGATTATTATGCTTGCTGAAAATGACCGGAAGATTGAAATAACAAGGCTATCCAGTTGGGAAGGCAGATTGGAAAGCTGGAAAGCTGTAACTCATGAACACCAGAAGCCGCGGACTGAGCCGGACCTTTGTTTTGTCTTTCTTTTCTTTTTTTTAGTACACTTTGTTAAGTGTTACAGCATGGGTGTCGAACCCATTTGTTATGAGGGCCAGATCTGACATAAACGAGACCTTGTTGGGCCGGCCCATGTGTGTCATAAAATGTAATGCCAGGTAGCGGAGAGATAAACTTTAAAAGGGACACAAATGGGGTTTTTTTTACTTAAAATAAAAACATTCTTAAAACATTAGCACTCTTGCAACATTTTGTTTATTTAACATTAGCACTCTTGCAACATTTTGTTTATTTAACAGTGTCTGATAACTGACACCTCTTGCTCTGAATTATTGCATCAAAATGTCTGCTGTTGCAATCTTGAGTATGCTGTTCAGGTGTGTATCTGTAAGCTGCAAACCTACGATGATGCAGCAGCAGCAGCAGAACTGGAAGAAGAAGCAGAAGACAGTTCCACTGTGGGCCTGATAGAAGCCCTCTGGGGGCCTGATCCGGTCCCCATGCCGCATGTTTGACACCCCTGTTTTAGAGTATACAGGGGTGAGGGAAAAGAGGAAAAACAAAATAACAAGTCTTCTGCATGTAACTCTTCTTCACATATCATTTCAGGCTTTTAAGAGATAGATTGTGAAATTTTAGAAGTTCATATAGGCTACTTCATATTGTATCAACGAAATCATATCTTTATATTTCTTTCTCATCCAATCGTAAAATGGGGTCCATAGCCCAACAAAGTCTTCTTCCATTTGTCCTTTTAAAATCAAAGTGAGTTTGTCCATTTCTGCACTTTCCATGGTCTTCATTATTAGATCTTGTTCAGAGGGTATTGTTGGAAGTTTCCAAAAAGTTGCATCTAAGATTCTAGTTGCTGTTACCGCATGAATTATAAAATATCTTTGATTTTTATCAAACTCATCTGGTATACAATTCAGTAAAAATAGTTCTGGTCGAAAGGGTAATGAAGTCTGCAAAACTGCCTGTATAAATGTATGCACCGTAACCCAAAACGTATGTATAGTTTCACATGTCCACCACATATGGTAAAACGTACCTACGTGTTTCTTACACTTCCAGCGACTATTAGACATGTTTTTATACATTTCAGCCAGTCTATCTGGTGTTAAGTATCTGCGGTGGCTCAAGTGGTTAAGACGCTGAACTGCAGACCGGAAGGTCAGTAGTTCAGCAGTTCGAGATCCTAGTGCCGCGTGGCGGAGTGAGCTCCCGTCTCTGGCCCCAGCTCCTGCCAACCTAGTAATTCAAAAGCAAGAAATTGCAAGTAGATAAATAAGTACCGCTTAGGTGGGAAGGTAACAGCATTCCGTGCGCTTCAGCGGCTAGTCATGCCGGCCACATGACCACGGAGAAGTCTTCGGACAGCGCTGGCTCTTCAGCTTGGAAACGGAGATGAACACTGCAACCCTAGAGTCGGATTCGACTGGCTTTCGAGCAAGGGAAACCTTTACTTTTACCTATAAAACATCTTATACAGGACCTTTGTTTTGTGAAAGCCAGTCTTGTCTACTCCAAATGGCAGTGGCACTCCAGGGACTCAGATAGCGACCTTGCCCTTCACCCGGTCCTGATCCTTTTAACTGGAGACGGTGGGGATTGAACCGGGGACCTTCTGCTTGCAAAGGAAATGCTGTCCTGCTCAGCCGCAATTTGCACCTTGTTACCCAGGCATTTACCATTTCCACCACCCCCTCTCCTGACAGGGCAGAACGCCTGCAGTGCCAAGCCTTGCAGCCTGTTGTGCCTCCCGAAATCCAACAACAGCCGAAGTTGCAAATGTCCCGAGGGAGTCCCTGGCCATCTGCTCTCCTCGGGGGAGATGAAGTGCGACTGCCCACGTGGGTATCTTTTGAAAAACAACACCTGTGTAAAGGAAGGTAAGGAGCACACGCTTGCATTCTGGGGTTGGCCTGGGGCTTTACAGTACTCCACAGTTCATCTCTTCACACTCGGCATCAGTATAAGAACATAAGGGAAGCCATGTTGGATCAGGCCAATGGCCCATTCAGTCCGACATTCTGCGTCACACAGTGGCCAAAACCCAGATGCCATCAGGAGGTCCACGAGCAGGGCCAGAACTCCAGAAGCCGTCCCACGGTTTCCCCTCCCTCCAAGCACCAAGAATACAGAGCGTCACTGCCCCAGACATAAGAACATAAGAGAAGTCTTGTTGGATCAGGCCCGTGGCCCATCCAGTCCAACACTCTGTGTCACACAGTGGCCGAAACCCAGGTGCCATCAGGAGGTCCACGAGTGGGGCCAGAACTCCAGAAGCCCTCCCACTGTTGCCCTCCAAGTACCAAGAACACAGAGCATCACTGCCCCAGACAGAATGTTGTGCCTAGTAGCCACTGATGGACCTGTTATCTGTTTGTTTGTCTGTTACAAAAGCATGACGAAGTCTCAAGCTTTGAAGAGCGTGCCAAAGAATGAGAATGTTGGACATTTTGAGACAGTTTAGGGAAATGCCCCCATTACAATGGACCCCATGGGAGCAGAAAGGAGAGCCTGCCATTTGCAGAGATGCTCATGAAGTGGTCTTACAGAGCTGTCACATTCCACATCATCCTCGCATTTGGAACAAGGAGCAAGTTCTCTCTCCTGTCCCAATTTTGCTAATTTTTTAATGCCCCCGGAGGGGATTTTTTATTGCATTTTCTATAAACTACAAACTACAATGAAAAAATAGGGAGGGAACATCTACATCTAAGGAGAAAGTAAAGAAAACCACTAATAACTAAAACCCCAAGAATAGGAGATCATTACATCAGCTGTGGTGGCTCAAGTGGTTAAGACGCTGAACTGCAGGCTGTGGAAGGTCAGTAGTTCAGCAGTTCGAGACCCGGGCTGCCGCATGACGGAGTGAGCTCCCGTCTCTGGCTCCAGCTCCTGCCAACCTAGCAGTTCGAAAGCAAGAAATTGCAAGTAGATAAATAGGTACCACTTCGGTGGGAAGGTAACAGCGTTCCGTGCGCCTTGGTGTTTAGTCATGCCGGCCACATGACCATGGAAATGACTTCGGACAGCGCTGGCTCTTCGGCTTTGAAACGGAGATGAGCACCGCAACCCTAGAGTCGGACTCGACTGGCTTTCGAGCAAGGGAACCTTTACCTTTACATCAGCTTATATAAATGTTAGTCTAAAATGCTAGTACTACATTGGACATAGTCGATTAAGCTAAATTGTTTATCTTTTTAACCATTTTTTTAACTGTTTAAAGACCACTCCAAGAGCATCATTTATAACAAATGCTTTAAGGCACCATTTAGAGTCCTTCAGCCTTCACTTTGTTTTATCTTTTCTAATCCTCAATTGGTATTCTCGTTTAGGGGCAGCCGCCCCCTTTTCTGAAGCAGAGTCCTCGTCGGAAGACACAGAGTCCAGTTCGCCACTAGATTTGCTGTCATCTTCTTCTTTAGCGTCCTCAGCTGGCTCTCCCAGTTGCAGTCTCAAGACCTCACGCGCTTTGGAGACAGAGTCAATTTTTTCTTTTTTTATCCTGAAGTTTGAAAATGACACCTTCGGGGGTCAGCCGTTTATTTTGCCATTTTGTAGAAGCTGATATGCTTAACAGTTGAGGAATAAACATGCTTCTGTCCAGAGGAACTGGTTGGCCACTGTGAGACAGATGACCCTGGAGGTCCCTTCCAGCTCTATGATTCTGTGATGCTGGAATAGATGGACGATTGGTCTCATCCAGCAGGGCTCTTCTTATGTTCAGATGGCAGTCTGTTCTGCTTTGGCCTGTAGGTTCCCAGCAGCTCCCAAGGCCAGCTTTGGGGCCCCCGGGGCAAACAGTGCCCCCATCTGCCCACCACCAAGGCCCCCCTCATGTCCTCCTTTCCCCCTGCACACACCCCTATCTGCCAATGTATCCTTCTCCCTCTTGCAAGCAATGCTCCCTCTAAGCTGTGGAGTCCTGTGAGCAGAAATTCTACTTTGCGAGCTGCTGGCATTAAAGCTGTGCGCGAGCGATTTGGCCGCTGCCTAAATCAGTTTGCTCTGGAGCCCTCCTTCCTGAGCTAAGGCAAAAATGTGTGAGCCAGAGGCTAAAAAACGGTGAGCCAGCTCACACTAACTCAGCTTAGAGGGAACACTGCTTGCAAGCCCTTCCGGCACTGATTCTCCGTTGTCTCCACCACCTGCATACCCTTTCCCTGGCAGCACTGGCCAGTCTATGCACGTGAGAGTGCTGCTGCCATCGGCACCAGGAGGTCCACCACTGTGCACCACCCACAAGCCTTTCCTCTATGGCTCCTGGCAGTTGGGCGCACAGGTGCAGAGGGGGCGGCAGGGGAGGGGCGTGGGTGGGGGGTCATCAACAGTAGTAGTTCTGAGCCCTGGCTGCTGGAGGCTTCACCTGACTTCTGCCAAAGCACGGCAGAATGCCAGAAACTGGCAACGACTTGGATATAGATAAATTGATGTGCTCTGTTGTCTTGGACTCTGACTGTACCTTCTTTAAAATTCTTCAGTTTGGTGTAGTGGTTAAGTGCGCGGACTCTAATCTGGGAGAACCGGGTTTGATTCCCCACTCCTCCACTTGCACCTGGCTGGATGACCTTGGGCAAGCCGTAGTTCTGATAAGAGCTGTTCTCTCAAGGGCAGTTCTGAAAAGAGCTCTCTCAGCCCCACCTACCTCACAGGGTGTCCGTTGTGGGGAGGGGAAGGGAAAGGAGTTTGTAAGCTGCTCTGAGATTCCGAGTGAAGGGCGGAATATAAATCTAATCTCTTCTCCTTCTTCCGTCTTCCTTTGTTCTGTGCTTGGATTCTTGCTCGCCCGCACCTCCCCGGCTGCCGCATCCCAGAAAACACCTGTCTGTCCAACCAGTATAGATGCTCGAATGGGAACTGCATCAACAGCATTTGGCAGTGTGACAACGACAACGACTGCGGGGATATGAGTGATGAGAAGAACTGTCGTATGTTTCCTGGTTGCTTTTCTCTAGCCCTGTCAACATACTCAGCAGAGACTAACAGAGAGCCAGCATGGTGTTTGTGGTTAAGAGCGACAGACTCTGATCCGGAGAACTGGGTTCGATTCCGCACTCCTCCACATGAAGCCGGCTGGGTGACCTTGGGTCGGTCACAGCTCTCTCAGAGCTCTCTCAGCCCTCCCCCCCCATAAGTCTAGCTTGCCGCTTTAGTGGTGCTTAACGCTAAAGGGCTAGAACTTAAGGCTGCCAGACATTC